TTTGCTCTGTCTTCAATTTTATAGAAATAAGTTAGGTACAAGTTTTGACATTATTTATACACAAAAACAGACGGAACATACACATTACTCGAACATAAACAAAACTCTGATATGCCTCTGAAAACATTTGTTATAGTATGCAGATCCTCTTGGTCTCCCTTTTTTTAAATACAACAACCTCTTTCAAAGGAGAAACGAGAATTTCAATCAAGCCATAGAACTGATGACAGGAGCTCCAATGCAAAACTCAAACGCTACCATATGTGGTTTTTTTGTAAGTATATTGTATATTTGGTTTTTAGTAGAAATTTTAATGGTGATGCTTCGGATTTTGTATACGCTAACGATTATGTTTTGAATTGATTTTGTCTCATATGCTTTCTCATAAAATAATTTTTTATTTTAAAAAGGTTAATTTCATATACACTTCAATTTGTAGATTATTGCTTACTAAATAGTTTTTTTGTCCAAAATGTCTGTCAGCAAGGAAGGAAAGGTTGGAAGAGTGCAGGTAGCGCAGCTCATATTAAGCCAAACTGCAAAGACAACTAAAATTTTCACATTAAAATTTTTTAGTTAAAGTAGTAAATTACTTGGGGACAATTGCGAATACAAACCATTGCAGAATACATAGGGCTATAAGTTAAAACTTAATACATGGTGACAATTATTACCTAGTGACCATTGGTTATCATATAATACTTGATGACAATTATGATCTATACCTCATGGTCATCCATGTATGACAACCCCTCATCATAGTAAACTATATGCATACTATTTACCTCCCCAATATATAAATTGAAATAAAATGGCTCAGCGCTGCGTGTACAATACGCGATTCTGATTGGTTGAAAAATCCAGCTTAGAACCAAGTTCACGTCCTCCAACTAAGTCGGTTTAGGTGGAGGATGTTAACTTGGTCCGAAAAATTTAACACGAAAACAAGAGAAGACTTTGCCCACGAAGTAAAAAACATTCAATCTGCCGCACCAAGCAAACTTGGTACCATTCAGACCATTTAAGAATTTGTCTATTTAGATCACTTCAATAGCGCAAACCTCGTAGGTGAAATTGCCGCAAAAAGTGGTTCAGAAAAGTTTATATAGAGTTTAATAGTTTTGTTAATTGTAAACAATTAAGGTCACCTTTCTCTCAACTTGACTTTTGACATTACAGCCAAGCTGACTGACTCGTTTCTCTCAACTTTTCAAAAACAGCATGACTTACAAGGAAATGACAAACTTTCAGGTAAAATAATGTTTCAATTTATACGAAAACTCGGGATTAATATCAACTTTTCTGAATAACCCCCTTATTAACAGTTCCCCTTTTCTAACGTTCGCCTTTTAGTATTCCCCGTACCATGTAATATAATATCCCTATTTATGATATTATATTTACCTTAGTTTTATCCCTGATTTACTATTGTATTATTTTTCATGTACTTACTCAACTGATGCCCAACTGCATGGAACTCCTTTGACTCAACCCTTAAAACTACCCTTACTAACAATTGGTGTACTACTCTCCTCAGATAAGTTACCCAAATTTTATATTGGCGCCCCGAAAAAGTTTTGATTAGCTCGTTACACTGTGTTTTTTATTCCGCCACAACCAAAAATTTATGGTTAGTTACTGTTTTTCCTCCCCAGTTTTTACGTCTGCGGTTTATTATATCTTGTTATAATACTTCCCCATTACAATATTATTTCATTTATTTACAGTTAATCGCAGTTTATTTGATTTACATTTAAAAAAAAAAAAGATCAATTATTGCTCTTGATTTCTAAACCCATGTAAACTTTAAACGTTTCAAATGTTCATAGCCTCATTTACTTTGAATAATGTATTAAGTTATTTTTATCAATTTTCCCCTTTCAATTCGTTTTTTGTTGCTTTGCTATTCCGAGTCTTTTGTGACTCATTTATGAAAAAACTTCAGTTTTCCCGACTCATTTTTCATTCCGTTCAGAGTCTTTATTGCCTTTTGCGTTCCTTTCCGAGTCTTTTCTGACTCAATGTTTCATTCCTTTCCGAGTCTTTCTCGACCCATTTGTTGTTCGTTTCCGAGTCTTTCCCTACTCATTCATTCATTCCTTCCGAGTCTTATCTGACGCCTTGTATATTCCTTCCGAGCCTTTCTTGGCCCTTTGCTTCCTTCATTGCTTCCTTCCTTCAAGTGTTTTCTGACACTTTTGCTTTCTTATTGCCCGACTCCTTGGTTACCTGATTCGAGATCTTTTTGGACTCTCAATTTTCGTCATTGTTCTTCGACATGACATTTGTTTGAGCTTTATCTGAGCTCACTTATTCCGCTTGCTTCGAGCCTCACTGGGTTCGTGGCTACATTCGAGCTTCGTCTTAGCTCACCTTATTTTCTGCTTTGAGCCTCTCGGTTCTTGGCTCCTTCCTGTCGAGCTTTACCTGAGCTCATTTCCTCTGCTGCTTCGAGCCTCACTGGGTTCGTGGCTACATTCGAGCTTCGTCTTAGCTCACCTTATTTTCTCCTTTGAGCCTCTCGGTTCTTGGCTGCTTCCTATCGAGCTTTACCTGAGCTCATTTCCTCTGCTGCTTCGAGCCTCACTGGGTTCGTGGCTACATTCGAGTTTCGTCTTAGCTCACCTTATTTTCTGCTTTGAGCCTCTCGGTTCTTGGCTGCTTCCTGTCGAGCTTTACCTGAGCTCATTTCCTCTGCTGCTTCGAGCCTCACTGGGTTCGTGGCTACATTCCAGCTTCGTCTTAGCTCACCTTATTTTCTGCTTTGAGCCTCTCGGTTCTTGGCTGCTTCCTGTCGAGCTTTACCTGAGCTCATTTCCTCTGCTGCTTCGAGCCTCACTGGGTTCGTGGCTACATTCGAGCTTCGTCTTAGCTCACCTTATTTTCTGCTTTGAGCCTCTCGGTTCTTGGCTGCTTCCTGTCGAGCTTTACCTGAGCTCATTCCTCTGCTGCTTCGAGCCTCACTGGGTTCGTGGCTACATTCGAGCTTCGTCTTAGCTCACCTTATTTTCTGCTTTGAGCCTCTCGGTTCTTGGCTGCTTCCTGTCGAGCTTTACCTGAGCTCATTTCCTCTGCTGCTTCGAGCCTCACTGGGTTCGTGGCTACATTCGAGCTTCGTTTAGCTCATCAACTGCTTCGAACAACTCTAGTTCGTCTCATTCGCTACGCTACAGCGATAAAGGCAAGTTGTCCTCTGGGAGGTCAACTGGTATAAGTGCAAATTTTATTGCACAGGGATAAATCTACGGTATTAGGATAGGTAGGTAAACAGGTACATCAACTTTAGTTGTCCTCTGGGAGGTCAGCAATCACAATTCGGTCGTCTGCTAAATAGCGACAGGTAGGTAGGTAAATACGTCATCCTCAGTTGTCCTCTGGGAGGTCAACACTCATTGGTGCTAATCTTTGCACCCGGTTTTTTTTTGCCGTTTATACTGGTAATTGGTAGGTAGGTAGGGTCGGTAGGCTGGTAGGACCAGGTAGGTTCTTGGACTAGCTTTAAAATCGCAGTTAATTGTTAATACCGAGGACACTTTGAACGACCGCTCAATTTTCCCTCGGAGGTAGGTACAAGTGGTAAGGTACAGTGGTAATTGGTTAAACTTTATCCATTATTTCGCTCCTTCTTACGAGCATCGGTGGTATTCGGTATAAGTTGGTAGGTTGGTAAAGGTAAATTCACATACTGGTATAAGTTGGTAGGTATTGGTTTACGTCTCCTGGTTCAAGGTATGGCCCCATCCGGTAGAAATAAAACGACGCAAAATAATGACAGCGATCCTTCGGAACAAAATGGTACCCAAACGCAAGATACCAATCAAAACGTTCAAGAGACTGGCGTTCGAAAACTGGTTTCGCTTCGACGTCATCACGAAATGGAGATCAATACTTTGATCGACATGCTCGAAAACAACATCTACGAGGAAGAAGATGATCTTGAACTCATCAATGAAACGTTCACTGAATTGTCTCAATTCCAACAAAAACTTGATACCCTGAACAATCAAATGTTACAGGCTGGTTCTGAACACGATTTTGAAGAACATTCTCACTGGACAGTACAGTTGAAACAGAAAATCCGAGTATTTTCAATGAAAGTGAAAAAATATTTGAAAAAACAAGTATCAAATCCTGCTACTTCTACAATTCCAAATAACAGCGCTCAAGAAAATGCTACTTCAATTTTCCCACAGGAAACCGCAACCTCCATGCCGACTGCAAACATAATGGATATACCAAACAACAACCTTATAACCATGAGCAACAATACTCAAGGCAATGCAAGAACAGCTGCCTCTGACGACAACCTTTCGGCGCCATTTCAAGGCGACCAATCATTTTCAAATCCATTTGCTAGTGATGTTCCTAACCACAGCTCACAACAAGCTAGTGCTGCAAACCCTCTTAACAACAACAATCGAGCTTTGGCAACTAATTCAAGCGACACTTCTACTACATTCAGTCGATCAGTGCCAAAACTGAAGCCTACAATTTTCAATGGCAATCCCAACTATTGGTTGCACTGGTATGGTGTATTCGTATCATCGATTCATAATTCTAATATGTCTCCAACTGAAAAGATGATCCATCTTCAATCATTGGTAACTGGCCCAGCTAAACTAATGATAGCTGGTTATGGTGCAAACGGCGACACATACGAACTAGCACTACAACGTCTTCGTGAAAACTTTGGCAATACCAATAGAATTGTCAACAACTCTTTTTTGCAACGTCTTACAAATTTCAAACCTCCAAATCTGGCTCAACCAGAATCATACATGCAGTTTTCTGCTTTTCTCCTAACTTTAGTGGACACTTTTGAGCAACTTGGTTTTGTTCACGATATTTGTTCTACAACAAACTTGAACACTGCTCTGGCAAAGCTTCCCGACCCTGTGAGATTAGAATGGAATCGCTTCGTCATCGACAAAGACTACGATCAACCCTCCTTGAGACATCTAGCACAATGGTTTTAACGGTACGCACAGGCGTGTCGCGACATGCCTCCGACAGGTTTCCGAAACCAAAACAATAACAATTTTAACAATTCTTCTGGAAACGCTAAACACCCTAGTGGTTCCCGTTTCAATGGTTTTACTACAAATGGTGTAGGAAATCAAAATCAGCGCTTTAACCATCAGGGAGATCAACAAAACTCTCGTGCTCAGAATAATGTAAACTCGAATGCTTGTCCTAGTGGAGACACCTGTGGACCTCTCTACAAATGCGAGCACTTCAAAGCTTTAGACCCTAAGCAACGAAAAGAGCATGCCCGAAAAATGCACTTATGCTTTAACTGTCTAGGGAATCATAGGTTTACTGACTGCAATTCGAAATCGCTCTGTCGAACCGATAATTGTGGTAAAAAACACCACACTCTACTCCACGATCCTTCTGATACTTATGGAAAAAACCCTAGTAAAGCTGCAGTGAATCGCGCAATAGCTTGTCAGAGATCAGGTCAATCAGCTTTTGTACCAATCGAATTATCAAATGGTGATAAAACACTTTGTACCTACGCTTTCTTAGATAGTGGTAGCTGCGTAACTCTACTACTGGACTCAGTGGCAACTCAACTAGGCTTGGACGTCAACAAGAAGCACTCACTTCCCATATCTGGATATCATGAGACCAAGTCAGTTCAAGTTACATCTGTGGATGTACAAATTAGACCATACAAAAGCACATCGACTCCAATGACGCTCGATGACGTACTCACGGTAGATGAAAATAATTTGGCCCCAGTTGATATTTTTCAACTAAACGCAATGTGCAACAATTTTCCACATTTAAAGCATGTTAAATACCCGGACTTAAACGACAATAGCATATCGCTAGTCATCGGAAACAACAATCCAGAATATCATGAGATCAAAAATACCGTTTATGGCCCCAAGAATGTTCCCTGGGCTATCGAAACCCTTTTGGGATGGACATGCACAGGTCGGAACAAAACGCAATATAATTCCGTTCCATCTGTTCCGGTGAACTTCACACAAGTTCATTCACACAATAACTTAGATGAAAAAATTATACCAGAAAGTTCTCAACTGGATGAAAATAGAAAACACAGGCATCGCTTCTTCAAAACGCTCGCACTCCAAATCGGATAAAAGAGCAATCGATATTCTCGAAAACTCTTGTACTTTAGTAGATGGTCACTATCAAATTGACCTTCTTTGGAAAGAGGATACTGATCTTCCAAATAACCGTTGGCTAGCTGAAAAGCAACTCAACAGCCTCGAATTTCGCCTTAAAAGTAAACCTGATTTAAGGGAGAAATACCGCGCAACAGTCATCACTGACTTAGAAAAAGGCTTTGTCACCAAAATAGATGCAAAACATGACACTGCAATCAAATCTTGGTATTTGCCCCATCATCCAGTGACAAATGTCAACAAACCAGACAAAGTTAGACGAGTCTCAAATGCTTCCAGCATTTTTCAGGGTAAATCCCTCAACTCGAGTTTGCTCAAAGGGCCCGATCTTTTGTGCAACTTAACAGGTCTCATAATTCGCTTTCGACAAAATAAAATAGCAATATCTGCTGACATAGATGCTATGTTTATGCAAGTGCTAGTCAGCCCAAAGGATAGACCTTTTCTAAGATACCTTTGGAAAGAAAATGGTAAATTAGAAACTCACGAATATACACGACACATTTTCGGTGCCACAGACTCACCATGCGTGGCTTGCTACGCAGTACGACGATGTGCATCAGACAGTAAAAACGACTTTCCTCTGGCTTCTGAAATCATTCAACGGAATATCTACATGGATGATTTGTATGTCACTTCGTCAACGGTAGAAGAAGCCCTCCAACAAATGACACAACTACGAGGATCTTTATCTCGAGGTGGGTTCAACTTGAATAAGTGGAACTCAAACAGTAAACCATGCCAGGATTCAATTGATCCAAATATTTTAGTCAGCCCTAATGATCCAACGCCTAAACATCAACGAGTTCTCGGTGTTCACTGGAATACCAACACTGACTGCTACTTCATCGATAACAAAAAGTTTGTAAAAATTCTACGTATTGGCATTGCTACGCTACGGAAACTCCTGAAGTATACCGCTTCTTTATTTGACCCACTCGGAATAGTGGCTCCATTGACAATTCGGATTCGAAAAGTTCTCCAATCTGTTTGGTCACAAGGTGTTAAGTGGGATACTCCATTAGACACGGATAAACTTCCCGATTTCAAACTTTGGGTAGACGAAATGGAAAATTTCGAAACTGTTTCATTCCAAAGGAACTTCTTTGATAAAGAAAACCCTGCTTCAATCCAGCTTCACACGTTTTGTGATGCATCAGAATTCGCTCTCGCTGCTGTTTGCTACCTAAGAATAGTCTACAGCGACGGCTCCACATCTTTGAAGTTTATAATAGGAAAGACAAGAGTCGCTCCTATGAAACGTGTTACAATTCCCAATCTCGAGTTGCAAGCTGCAGTATATGCTGCCCAACTATCGCTCTTTGTTTCAGAGGAAATTGACCTCAAAGTTGAAAAAACTTATTTCTGGTCTGACAGTACTACTGTTTTGTATTGGCTGCGAACACCTGAAATACGACACAAAATTTTCGTCGCTAATCGGCTTCAGAAAATTTTAGACGTTTCTAAACCTGAACAGTGGTTTCACGTTCCAACTCTGCTAAATCCTGCTGACGACGGTACCAGAGGATACATTGCTTTAGAAATGACCTCAAGCTGTCGGTGGCTACTAGGACCGGAATTTCTGTTGAACGATTCTTCTCAATGGCCTTCACAGGAAAACATTCGGCTTGAGAACATTCCTGTATTCGTTACTTCATTAGAGTCTAAATTTGAGCCTATATTTGACATCAAACGCTTCAGCAACTGGAAAAGACTAATACGGACAGTTGCATACTGCTTCTTATTCGCAGAAAATCTCAAACGGAAGATCAACAAACAGTCGAAGGTCGATCTTCAACTCTTGCATCTAACGAAATCGCACTTTCTCATAATTAAAACTGCCCAAAGGACAGATTTTGTCTCTGAAATTTCAGACATCAAAAAAGAAAAACCAATTGAAGGCAAAAGTAGACTTCGAACATTAGCACCGTTTGTGGACAACTTCGGTATCCTGCGTTCTCGTGGACGTCTCACGCGTGCCCCTATCATGCTATCAGCTAGATATCCAATCATTCTCGCTGGTGAAAACCCCAATGTTCGCCTGCTGTTAGCTAACATCCATGTTCTACATTCCCACTGCGGAAAGGAACAAGCAATTGCCATAGCACAGGAAAACTACTGGATTCTTCGCTGCCGCGTCGTGCTGAAAAGTATCATACACAGTTGTATACCCTGCAGAAGAATGCAACAACAAGTCGACTACCCTCAGATGTCAGATCTTCCAATTGATCGACTGCCATCAAAAAATCATTTTCCTTTTGCAACGACTGGATTGGACTACGTTGGACCTTTTCCCATCATCCTTCAAGGAAAACAATACCAAGCGTATATTTTACTGTTCACATGCTTAGTGATCAGAGCTGTGCATCTTGAAATCTCATTAGGACTATCGACAGACAGCACTCTTCTTTGTATCAGACGCTTTTTTGCCCGGCGAGGAAAACCATCGAAAATGGTTTCTGATTGTGGGACAAGTTTTGTGGGCTCCAATTCTGAGCTGAAGAAATGTCTAGACAACTTGGAAAAGAACAAAGAATTTGTGGAAAGCATCAATCAGCTGGACGTATCACTCGAATGGAAATTCAACCCTCCTGCGGCCCCTCATTTTGGTGGTTCTTGGGAACGACTAGTTCAGATATTTAAACTTTCCCTGTACAAAGTCATCGGATCAAGAACACTCTCCTATGAAACACTGGCTACTTTCACGACCGAAATTGAATCAACCATGAATTCACGACCTTTAACCAATGTGTCTGACGACATCAAAGATGATCTGCCTCTCACTCCCAACCATTTCCTTCTTGGTCGTGGAACTCCAAATTTACCGCCTGGTATCTTCAAGGACAAGGATTTATCTCTGTCAAAATCATGGAAAGCATCCCAACTACTCGCAGATCACTTCTGGAATCGCTTTCTTCGAGAGTACTTACCAGGTCAGCAGAAACGATCAAAGTGGACTTCTGCGACTTCCAATTTGCAACCCGACGACATGGTCTGGATGTTGGAGGATTTTACACCTCGTGGACTGTGGCCTCTTGCTAAAGTGGTGGAAACCTTTCCTGGACAAGATGGAATAGTCCGCTCAGTGAAGCTGAAAACGCCAACTGGATTCAAAGTTCGACCTGTGGTCAAATTGAGCCGCGTTTTCCCAGTTTCGCAGTAACCAAGCTCCAAATAGCTAACCAACCAAATAATCACGCAACTCAGCCTTCAACATATCAACTCGACAAAGATGAACAAATCTACGACTCGTCAATTCAACTAAGACAATCAGCTCAACGATAGACAAACCAAGATGAAGATGAAAAAGAACAATTTCTGGTTCCCTTATCTACTGGTTCCCTTATCTTTGTATTTTACCGTATCCTTACTATTTTATTCAATACTTTATTTGCAAGCTCTGCAAATGTGGGCGGGTGTTAATTGTAAACAATTAAGGTCACCTTTCTCTCAACTTGACTTTTGACATTACAGCCAAGCTGACTGACTCGTTTCTCTCAACTTTTCAAAAACAGCATGACTTACAAGGAAATGACAAACTTTCAGGTAAAATAATGTTTCAATTTATACGAAAACTCGGGATTAATATCAACTTTTCTGAATAACCCCCTTATTAACAGTTCCCCTTTTCTAACGTTCGCCTTTTAGTATTCCCCGTACCATGTAATATAATATCCCTATTTATGATATTATATTTACCTTAGTTTTATCCCTGATTTACTATTGTATTATTTTTCATGTACTTACTCAACTGATGCCCAACTGCATGGAACTCCTTTGACTCAACCCTTAAAACTACCCTTACTAACAATTGGTGTACTACTCTCCTCAGATAAGTTACCCAAACTTTATAAGTTTCAAATTCCACACTGGTGGATCGAATCCTCAATCAGCCACAACAACTTGAAGATTCGACAATTAGGCCACTGACACCTTTAACAATTGATTTTCAATCATGCCTTAAGAGTAATTACCACAGGCGGTAGTGAATGCAATTTAATTAAGCGGGTATTACCGCAACTCATATTGTTCATAAAACGTAGAAAAAAGTGAAAAACAATGGAAAAATTTTAAGTTGAAAAATACTAAAGGCAAATTTTAACACAACTTTGACTTGCCAACGTACAGCTTAATATTTAGTAAAACTTTAGTTCTAAAAAATTATATAATTTTAGAGGCACGTAGTATAGTGGTAAGGCGTTTACTTCGTGATAGTCGGATTGTCTTATCGATCGGCTGCCATGGCAATTATAGTTTGTGAGGACAAGCTTTCACTTGGCCTCCAGCTTCAGATCTACCACGACCTGACAGATTTCGGCTAGAATGGCGGTACTACGTGAAAGTTCTAGACGCAAAAAGACTACCTTGAGTTGCAAAAAAAGACTGCTCGTATCAGGGCAAAACCCTGAATGTTCCAACTGCCTTTTAAGCTCTATGGAGCAGTGGTAACATGAAAAAGTTGAACGTTATTAAAAAAAACTATTTTTTTATTTGAGATTTTTTTGGGAAAACCATCATCCCACATAGCATATAAAGTACAAAGTGATAGATTTCGCTCTAATGAAATATCAATTTTGGCATAAAAGCTTCCTTCAACCAACTGGGAACGTATTCTAAGGCAAACTAAATCTCCGCTTACGCGTTAATAGCGAGAATTATATCGCGCGTTAATTGTCCCAAATTTGCCAAATGGCTCTCTTAAAACGCTCATAACTTTACAATAATGATCAAAGGTGAAAAATCTTTTCAAAACTAAGCTCAAGACAACAATACTTTTTGTATGATATGAAAATTTTCGTCAAAAACTCTGTCGAAATTCGTCTTAAGAAGAAAAAAAATTACTTTGAGCACAAATATCCGTTACATTCGTTGCGAAATTCGAAACAATAACTTCGCTCAATAAAATAACTTTTTGGAATGTGCGGTATATAAGAGAAACCGACTACGCATAGACAGGCTGCAAAACCTTTCGTAGATCCTCTGCAAATCATGGAAACGACAATTATTACTATTAATTTTGAGGCCAGTCGATGTATTTTGAATTGTGAGCGGAATCTGTTACAAGATGAAAACGGTTAGTCGTGCAATCTGCCACAAAACTTTTTTGTCTGTTTTTTTTTTGCTGCTGTGGAATCCAAATACAAATGGCTACAACATTGTTCCACTCCAAATCTCTTCAAAACCATTAAAACTTGCAGAAGCGGTCACGAAAACTGCGGAACCCAGAACAACGCGTGAAATCTGTAAAAAAAAAAAAACAATTCGCCGTAGTTTCAGCTGTCACAAAATTCTCAATTTTCATGCGGAATCCGGTTTGCAGTAGAATCTGCTGACATTTGCGATGTCCGCCTAGATTTTCGGAATCCATTTACAATTTGCGGAATATGCTTACAAATGCGAAATCTGTAACAACTTGCTATATTCGCTCATTGCGGATTCCGCGACGCATCTAGCATTTCGACAATGTTTTAAGCTAAAATAATTTGATTGGTGACTTCGCAAAACATAGAATATTTTCTTTCCGCAAAGCATATGCTTAAAGGCTTGTGTCCGAACTCAAAGGTTCCACACACAACAAGCAGTGCTTGTAACCAGATCACAGCGAAATTTATTTTTTTTGTGGAATAAACTCACCGGAATCAGGGGCGGAATACGGGGAGGCGAACGCTCCCCCCCTCCCTCAGGGATTCGAATCCCCTGCGGACCCAAAGGGTCCCCCTGTACAATTATGAGATATCCACTTTTGGCTGTCGGACCCTAAACTTTTTCTAAAGGCGCCTTGGGCGCCATACTATATTAATTTTGAGGGGGGAGCATAATAGTATGATGATTTTTTGGTCAAAATTTTCCAAAAAGTGCCTCAAAACACATTTTTTGGCATTGTCTTGCTAATTTTGCGTGCGGTGCCGACAATTTGGCCAAAACAGGTTGTTTTAGTGCTTTGGCAGAGCTTGGAAAATCAATTTAGTCGACCTAAAAAAGAGGTGGTCAAAACTTCGCCCCCCTCTCGAGAAAACCTTAGATCCGCCCCTGACCAGAATACAACTTTTTCTTAAAGTTTTGTCAGAACAAGTTAATTCCGAAAGCTTTATTCTCATACTAAATCAATATTCAAAAACATAAAACATAAGTCATATGGATTTCAGGCCGCTCATCTCAAACACAAAAGGATGCAAGTTCGGTTCAAGTTGATCGAAAACCTTGTTTTAAGGTTTTATTGGAATACATTGCATAGCAGGTGGCAAAAATTCACCCATTTTCCTAAGCAATAATTCAGGATTTTTCTTTTGTTTATGTTATTCTCTTTGATTGTTTTCAACTTTGCACCTGCAGTGCCAATAAACTAATCAGGGAAAATTGAAGATCAAATGTATGTTTTTCTTTATCTTCTAATAGCCTACATAATCAGACTTTTTTAGATAGCCTTTTTCCCTTTGCGGCAGGCAATAAAACAATTTCATGTTCAGCTCAGAGATTGGAATAAAAATTCATTTAAAAATAATACTGATCTCCAACAACTTTGACAGCCGTGTGCTGGACAGAGCATGGCTGTTTATTTTACAAACTCACTTATTCGAAAAAATTACTCTAACGCAATCAATATACTTTTGATTTTCACAACTTTTTGCGCCAAATGAAAGTTTATTGGCAATTTTTTTGAATATCTAAGAAGAAAAAACAAAAAAGGCAAATAAGCGACCGGCAACAGAATTAAACAAGACTGGTTGTACCAAGGCGAAGCCCTGAAGTTTCTGACTATCTTGTAAGGTCTTTGGAGAAGTAATAACACGAAAAAACTAGAAATTTAAAAAAATAAAATTAAATTTTTTGAAGTATGTAGGTGAAAATTACTGAAAATTATCTCCCCAGTCCCCACACACGATACAAAGTACAAAAGGATAGATTTCGCTCCTTGTAACAAATCAATTATGGCAAATAAGCTTCTTTCAACCAATTTGAAACGATATCTACGATGGATTAAATCTGCGCTTGCGCGTTGATAGCTCGAAAAATATCGACTTTTTAACTATCCCAAATTGGCCAAAATGGTAAATTTTAAACCCCCATATTTTTACGAAAAAAAAAGATCACAGGTGAAATATTCCGTTGAAAATGGCTAGTTAAAAAGTCGAAACTTGTCTGAAGAAAGAAAAAAGCACCCCGGGCACAAATATTCCGTTACTTTTGTTAGGAAACTCAAAACAATGAATTTAATAGCCAGAAAACCAGCACGAAAGCAAGACGCGCAGAAAAAATGAACGTAAAATGCGGCTTTAAAAAATTGTAAAAATATTAAAATTCTGTTAAACGCATTTTTTCTCCTTGTTATAAAACGGTTTTTACTCCTCTGTGTTAAGCGGTTGAAGACAAAATCTCTTATTTTCACATTTTTCATTTGAGTTCTTAGAAAAATTATTTAAAACGTCGGACACTACGGGATTCAGATATGGATTTCCCACACACCTAAGGATGACTTGATTTCTGCTACTATCATGTTACTTTTAAACATTAGGTAGCAAAAAATTCGCTTTAACTAAACAGATATAGCTAGATATCCTTTTGGCTTACTCGAAGCATGAATTCTGTTCAAAACCCTGCACCAAACTGCGCGAAATGACATGGAAAGGGAGTTAATTGTAAAATATTACAAAAACAAACTTCATAGGGATTCTTCAACAAACTTTTTAATGTGAGATTCAATTCCACTTGGTTTTAGTTTATTTCAGCAGATCAGTTTTCCGGACTGGAGTGCAATTTTCAAAATATCAGAAATATCAAAACAAGCAAGCAAATTTTGAAGATCCAGTTATGCTTGTATTTGATTCAGTTTGTCAGAAAAACTTTAGATATCATATTGAAGCCATTTCAACCATGATATGGAGTCGATGAAAATTTCCCATGTTCTCTCTGGTTTGAGAAAAAGTTTTTGTTTTTCAGAATCAGTAGATTTTCAGACCGGAAGTTTCAGACCAAATTTCCGGTCTATTTCATCGGATTTTATTAGTAATTTAGCTAATTTCAACTGGCTCTCTTATAGAGCAATAATCAATTGAAAATGAAACCCAACTAAACGATAGTGTTTTGAAAATTTTCAAAACTATTAGACTTCTCCTCTTACTCTTTTTTGGTTGGAACATTCTGGGCTACTTGCAGATCAACCGGCTATCTTTGTTGATATTGGATATCATATAGTCAAATACCCTTAAATATGGTCAATGATTTCCCGCTATCAAAAAGTTTTGGGCCTGAAAGACTTCAAAGTTTTGAGCCTTGAGAAAAATTGTGTTTTTATGCATCTGCTTTCTATGTACATGCGTAGCTTAATTGTAGCTTAATTGTTGTAATGAATTTATGGAAAGTTTTCAGTTGGCCAAATTGATTATTTTCCCAAACTTTGCTGCACCAGAGAGATCAATTGAAAGTATCAAACACACATCAACTTGGACGGATTAAGAATGGATTATTAATCCTTGGATCAGCAAGTCGAGACAAATGACCTAAAACCTATTCGCTATTTATTGGATACATTGCTGAAACCAATTCGGATGAAAAATAATGAAATATCAAAATTACAGGACACAGTTGCTTAATTTGGGGATCGAGTTCAAAAATAGAAACGTCATTCTCCCAAAATGCTCTTATATTTGTCAATGTACGAACAACAATCATCCACTAGAACTATAAATGTGTGGACTTCTAAAAAAAATATTTGGGTTATGAAAAATCCCCCGCTAATTTCAAAGCGTATTATGTTCTTGGAGCAAGGACTTATGGTGTAAGCCCGGCTGCAACTATCAAGTTTGTATATTATTGTGAAAAAGAAG